AAGCTTCGTAGGCAGGGTCCTGTAGGTTCTGCTGGAAGGGGTGGCAGCGACATGGGACATTGTCTTCCAGTAGGACCAGCAGCATCGTCATCATCATCATCGGTGGTCAATAACAGACAAGAATGACTTTCTTCCATTCTCAGGGTGAGTCTGTAGGTAGCTGTACAGACCACAGGCTCTTTTACACTTGAGGCAGAAGGTGGTTGCGGGAAGAGGTGGGTGAGGCATTGAAGTGACAGTCCACGCCCTATGATGTTTTTGCCTACCCTCCTCTTTTCCCCACTGGCAAGTCTTGAGATACTTGAAGCCTTCCAGGCTGCACCTCCTCCAGTTTGGAACGTCTTGGGCCAGCGATTCCCAGGTATCTGTGGGAATGCTGCACTTTACCAGTGCGGGTATCACTGAAGCACTTCCTCTGACCACCTGGGGCTTGCCTGCTGTTTTGGAGCTGGGGGTAGAGCACCTGCTTGGGGAGCCTTGTGTCGGTTATGTGGGCGTAATGCCTAGCCCATCAAGGGTGGACTGCATAGCATCTGCAATGGAGACAACACCACCAGACAATGCCAGCCTGCTCCAAGGTTACCTCCTGGATTAAAGCCATCTGAAGAAAGAGAACTAGAGGCAGAAGGCATCCTCCGTTCAATACTCTGCGAGGGTAGATTCCACCATCTTCTCTCCAATACCTCATACTCACTCTTTCTCTGTTTCTGCACCCACCTCCCACCGTGGCTCATGTGCTACAATTCTCATGAATGCCTGCTAACCTTCCCCTCTCGCTCTCACCAATCCCAACTTGTGACACTATTAACACTAGGAACATAGAATCAGGAGCAGACTGATACAGAAGGTAACGTCGCATGGGTTCAGAGGTGAGTTTGCAAGATGGATAAAAATCTGGCTCGATCCTAGAAGAGAGAGGGTAGCAGTGGAAGGGTGCATTTCCGAATGATTTGAGGGAAACTGTAACTGGTTTGATGAGTAAGTTTGTGGATGACACAAAGGTTGGTGTAATTGCAGATAGTGATGAGGGCCGTCAGAGGATACAGCAGGATATAGATCAGTTGGTGACTTGGGTAGAAATATGGCAGATGGAGTTTAATCCAGAAAAATGTGACATAGTGCATATCGGAAGGTTTAATCCAAATGGAAAATATACAGTAAATGGCAGAACCCTTAAGAATACTGATAGGCAGAGAGATCTGGGTGTACAGGTATACAGGTCACCGAAAGTGGGTACACAGGTCACTGAAAGTGGGTACACAGGTCACTGAAAGTGGCAACGCAGGTGGAGAAGGTCGTCAACAAGGCATACGGCATGCTTGCCTTCATCTGCCAGGACATTGAGTTTAAAAATTGGCAGGTAATGTTGCAGCTTTATACAACCTTAGTTCGGCTGCATTTGGAATATTGTGTTCAATTCTGGTCGCCACGCTACCAGAAGGATATAGTGGCTTTGGAGAGAGTACAGTCCGGTATGGAGGGTATTAGCTATGAGGAGAGGTTGGAGAAACCTGGGTTTTTCCTCACTGGAACAATGGAGATTGAGGAGTGACCTGATAGAGGTCTACAAGATTATGAAGGACGTGGACAGTCAGAAGCTTTTTCCCAGGGTGGAAGAATCAGTTACCAGAGTCCATAGGTTTAAGGTGTGAGGGGCAAGGTTTAAAGGTGATGTATGAGGAAGGTTTGTTACACAGAGGATTGTGGGTGCCTTGAACTTGCTCCCTGGGGAGATAGTGGAAGCAGATACGATAGTGTCTTTTAAAGGGTGTCTTGATAAATACATGAATAGGATGAGAATAGAGGGATACCGTCCCTGGAAGGGTCGGGGATTTTAATTGTGACGGGCAGCATGTCGGTGCAGGCTTGGAGGGCCGAAGGGCCTGTTCCTTTGCTGTAATTTTCTTTGTTCTTTGTTCTTTGAGTATGCTCTTCAGCCCCTTGAGCATATTCATTCCGTGAGATCATGGCTGATCTATGGCTAACTTGATATATCTGCCTTCGGCCTGTATTCGTTAATATCTTTGCTTAACAAAAATTTATCTATCTCAGATTTAACACTAACAACTGATCTTACGTCCAGTGCCATTTGTGGAAGAAAGTTCCAAACCACTACCACCCTTTGTGTGTAGAAGTGTTTCCTAATATTTCTTCCGAATGGTCTGGCCCTAATTCTCAGGTTATGACCGCTAGTTCTGGAATCTCCAATCGGTGGACGTCGTTTATCCTTATCTATCCTGTCTGTTTCTGTCAATATCTTGACGACCTCAGCCAGAATACTCCTTAACTTTCTAAATTCTAGAGAAAACAAGCTTAATTTGTATAATCTCCTCTCATAACTGAATTGCTGAAGTATAGATGTTATTCTTGTAAACCTATGTCGTACTCCCTTCAAGATCACTATGTCCTTCCTAAGGTAAGGTCCCCAGATTGGCTCACAGTACTTCCAAGTGGGCCTAACCAAAGTTTTATGTAACTTCAGCATAAATTCTGTATTCTTGTATTCCAAATCCTCTAGACATAAAGCCAGTATCCATTAGCATACTTGATCGTTTCTGCACCTGTTTGTGACAGTTTAAAGATCCATGCCGCTGAACTCCCAAGTCTGTTTGGACATCCACTGGATTTAACTTCATACCATCTAGAAGGTAACCTGATCTATCCTTTTTCAGTCCAAAATGGAATACCTCACACTTGCTTACATACATTGAACCGATCTGCCACAGTTTTGCCCATTCTCTTAATTTATCATTACCTGTCCTCTCTGTGGCCTACTCATTCACTCGAGTTGGCTGTCACTACCCCGTACCAAAAGTAAAAACTGTGGAACTACTTTCATCTTCTGTAATACCTGCTTCTCTCTCTCATTCAGGAGAAAAATAGCCCGCAATAGGGCAGAAAGACACAAGATGGATTGTGGGCTGTCAGCATTCAGCTCCTGACCCCATATGAGAAGAGAACTCTGATTCCGACCATGAGTAGGCTGTGGACTGGTATTGGAAACTGCTCTTGACTTATTGTGCTGGGACCCCTAAGTGAAGACTGTCCGACTTCACCAAGGGCTGCTGACAATTGTAATGAGCTTCCTGGCATTGTGTCTGCTCTAAATGGCAAGGCAAAACAGCATTAATATGTAAGCAGAGATATGAGATTCCAGGTAGGCTCAGTGCATTTGAGGGCTGTGATAGTGGAAGACCTGGAGATGTGGCCTGATCCAGTACATGAGCTGTGTGTGTGTTCCTGAGCGCACAGTGTCCCTGCTGTGGCATTTCATTGATCGTTACTACTGCAGAAGCATCTGTAAATGCATCAGAGATGTGCCATGAGGGTTCTTAGAGTCTGGCACATGTTGGATGCCAGTGTCCTTGGATCTGGGATGTATGTGGCCGGTGCTCATGGAGTCTGCCCTGAAATGTTGGTGCCTGGTTTACAAAACCTGGAGGTTATTCAGAGTGAGAGATGAGCTGAATCAGCCAGGAGCTTGCTCTGGTTTCCTTGCTGCAGTTTCCTGCTGCTGTTTCCTGAATTCGAGCTTCTTTGGCAGAATTTGGTGAGATGTCGAAGTATTACTGAGTTGAGTTTGCCTTAACAAGGCATTTAATAAGCGATAATCATCGTCAGTTGGCAATTTACCTTTGTCTAGCAAGAATTTTGCCATGAGTTGCTCCACATTTGTTATCCAATTCTGCCACTTACTTTGCATAATCCACATTGCTGAGACCCCCATAAAATTCCACTAATTGTTTTTCTCTCTCCGCAGATATCATCTGGTACACTAATGTCCTTTAGGAAAGAAAGCTGTTTGTCTTGACCTGATCTAGCCTCCATGTGACTCCAGACCCAAAACAATGTGGTTGACTCCTAACTGCCCTCTGGGCAATTAGGATGGGAAATAAATGCTGGTCTAGCCAGTGAGGCCCACATCCTGTGAATTTTAAAAAATGCAGCCTGGCTGCCTGAGTATTTCCAGCATTTTCTGTTTTCATTTCAAATTGTGAGCATCTACAATACTTTCCTTTAAAATACAATAATGAAATTGGCTGTGGATGCTGGATGAAGCATATACAGTGGGTCAACATCAAGTAGCTAGATGGTAATGTAGGAAAAGGAGCTAAACTGTACAAGTGGGACTGAGTTGGCGCTGAAGTTTAAGAATATGTACTGAGAATCTGAGGTTTCACAAGATGAGCAACAATTCAGCAAAAAGACCTAAAGCATTGCATATTATTGTCATATTTTCCAAACTAACTATGTACCATGGCTTCATGATATATTATAAAGATTTAATATTTTCCTTTATCCTACAAAGGGGCATATATTTTAATAACTGCCCTGAAAGGGTGACCTGAATTCATGTTGCATCCTCATGGCTTATCACATGATATTAGTTCAGGGGCACGGCAGGGAAGCAGGGCCCGAGAACTAACTCAGGTGATACGGGAATTGAACCTGTGCTGTTGGTTCCACCACACTGTAGCCATCCAACCAAGCTAAGTTAACTGTCAGTAATCACATTATGGAAATTGAGAAGTCAGTAAACTATCTTCTTAAAAAAAAAACAATTTTTGTTTGCAGAAGTGGTAAATAGTTATTTACTCCATATGCACGCCCAAGATATTTTCTAATTTTCTTGCCAAGAGAAAAATAACAAGCAGTGTGCATTGGATGTAAGTAGTCAGAAGTCACTAATCAATGATTTGCTTTTTGCCAATAATTATAAAATTTTCACCATCCCCTAAGTCATCCCATTTTTTCTATAATTCTAATGGAATTTTTAGTTAACATTTGATGTTACAGAAAACATCTGTAAGATCCTAGTTCAAGTGGAAGAATGATGGTAGTGCTTGCAACCTTTTTGGTTCCGAACTAAATATACTTCTTCCCATTGGCTTCATTTGGACCTTTATTAACATTTAGTATTAAAATAATATACGGGTGATGATTGCAAGTGGTCTTAATGTACTTGGGTTAAAACACTAACTTTCTTCTCATCTGTACAGGTAACTCCCATGGACATAGTAATGGGTGAACGACTCTTCGGAATTTTGGCACGTGTAGCTGCTTCAGATCTCCCTCAGCCTCGCTTGCTTTCATTATTGGGAGAAATCAAGTAAGAGCTAAAATATAATGATAGATTAGTTAAACAATAAATTCATGCATATTCAATCTGTCCATTCCTATATTTGTAAAAAAAAGTGTTCACCTTTATTCTGAACGTAATTGCCAAAGTGCTTAATGGGGTGGATTAGAGAAAGTTGTGCTGTGTCAGAAATATCTTGGTGGAAGCACACTCACTTCTGTGTGAAAGGTTATGGATCATATCCATTCCATAGATTTGAACACAAACTCCAGACTGGTGCATCCAGTGCTATACTGAGGGACCACTGTATTACTGAAAATGATACCTTTCATATTGAAACATAGGGCACACTTGTCCTTTCTGGTTGACGTAGGAGCTCCCGCAGTAATCTTGGAGAAAAGCCAGTTAATTCTCCCCTCACTGAATTGGATGAATGATAAGTATTCATACAATATGGTAATGAGTTTGAAGAAGAATCGTACTAGACTTGAAGTGACATATAGGATCCTGAGCTTTATGAACAGAAGTTTGGACCACCTGTGTAAAGCAATGGTTTGACCTCAACTGGGCAGTTTCCTAATTCTTATCTTTGCACGTTACAAAGCATGTGAACGCTTTAGAACGTAAAAAGGATTTGCAAGAAAGATTACAGCAATGAAGAACTGACTGCATGGATTGATTTGTGAAATTAGGATTTAATCCTTTCAGAAGAAAAGGTTGAGAGAAGATTTGCTAGAGGCTCATAATCATGAGTAGCTATGGTGGTCTCTTCTATGAAGATCATATGGTAGGTAGGAAGAAACCTATTCCCTTAATGGATGGAACAGTGAGGTAAGGAGCAGGATGTCTAGAGGGGATGTGAGGAAAAATGTTTTCATCCAGATGGTGGTAGGAATGTGGAACTCGCTGCCTGTAATGGTGTTAGAGGCAAAAACCCTCATAACATTTTAGTAGTGTTTAGATATGCACTTGTGATGACAAGGCATACAAGGCTTTGGGCAAGTTCTGAAAAATGAAAATTAAATAGTTAGGTAGTTGTTTTTGACCAGCATGGATGTAATGGGCTGAAGAACTTCTTTCTGTGCTATAGATTCTATGACTTTATGTTCTCATTGGTTCAGGATTGAGGATTGAAGGATCCTGACTTATTGTGAATGGCAAAAGAATCAAAGGTGGCCTGAGGAAAATCCTCTACTCGGCCAATGGCTAGGATCTTATTAGAGATAGTATCTGATCCAAGGAAGAAGCATACAGATTGGCCAAGAAAAATAATATGTCTCAGGATTGGAAGCAGTTTACAATTCAGCAAAGAAGGTCCAAGGGGTTGACTAAGAAGAGGAAAATGCAGTACGAAAGTAAGCTTGCAGAGAATATAAAGACTGACACTAAGAGTTTCTATAGGTACGTGAAGAGAAAGAGATTGGTGAAGACAAATATAGGTCCCCTCCAGACAGAAAAGAGGAAATGGATAACAGGGAACAAAGAAATGGCTGAGCAACTGAATACATGCTTTAATTCTGTCTTCACAAAAAACGACACAAATCAGATACTAGAAATGTTGGATAATGCAGGATTTAGTGAAGAATTAAGGGAGATCAATATTTGAAGGAAAATGGTGCTGGGAAAATTAATGGGATTGAAGATGGATAAATCCCCAGGGCCTGAAAATCTAAATTCTAGAGTACTTAAGGAAGTGGCTCTAGAAATAGTAGATGCATTAGTGGGCATCTTCCAGGATTCTATAGACTCTGGAACAGTCCCTGCAGATTGGAGGGTAGCTAATGTCACTCCAATATTCAAAAAGGGAGGTAGAGAGAATGCAGGGAATTATAGACCAGTAAGCCTAACATCGGTAATGGGGAAAATTCTCAAATCCATTATCAAGGACTTGACAGCGGAGCATTTAGAAAGCACTGGCAAGATCAGACAGAATCTGGATGGATTTATGAAGGGGAAATCATGCTTGACAAATCTGTTGGAATTCTATGAAGATGTAACGAGTAGAGTTGACAAAGGAGAGCCAGTTGATGTGGTATATTTGGACTTCCAGAAAGTGTTTGATGAAGTCCCATATAAGAGATTATTGTGCAAGATTAAAGCACATGGGATTGGGGGAGGTGTATTGAGATGGATAGAAAACCGGTTGACAGAAAGGAAACAAAGAGTGGGGACTAATGGATCCTTTTCAAATTGACAAGCAGTCACTAGTGAGGTATTAATGATTTTGATGAAGAAACAAAATGTAACATCTCAAAGTTTGCAGATGATACCAAGTTGGGTAGGAGGGTGAACTGTGATGAGGATGCAGAGATTCTTAAGTGCGATCTAGACAGGTTGGGTGAGTGGTTAATTCAATGGCAGATGCAAGTATAATTTGGATAAATGTGAAGTTATGCACTTTGGAAGCAAAAACAAGAAGACCGATTACTACCTGAATGGCTGTAAATTGGGAGAGGGGAGCGTGCAACGGGACCTGGGTGTCCTTGTGCACCAGTTGCTGACGGTAAGCATGCAGGTGCAGTTTGCGGTAAAGCAGGGAAGTGGCATATTGGCTTTCTTTGTGAAAGGTTTTGAGTACAAGAGCAGGGATGTGTTGTTGCAATTATACAGCACGTTGGTGAGACTAAACCTGGAATATTGTGGAGGGAGGGATCAAATGGGGAGAAAGCAGGATTAGGGTGCTGAATTAGACAATCAAGGTCTTTTTTGCGGGCAGAACATGGATGTTCTGAAAAGTGGTCACCCAGTCTACGCTTTGTTTCTTCAATGTAGAGGAGACCACATGAAGGTCAGCATGCTAAATGTTTTCTTCACTACCCTGTCTACCTGTGATGCCGCTTTCAACAAACTATGTACTTGTGCTCCTAGGTCCCTCTGTTCCGCAACGCTCCTCGGTATCTTGCCATTTACTATAAAGTCCTACCATGGTTTGACTTTCCAAAGTGCAACACCTCACACTTATTTGTGTTGACTTGCATTTGCCAATTCTCAGCCCACTTCCCCATCTGATCAAGATCCCTCTGTAATTTTTGATAATCTTCCTCGCTATGAACAATGCCTCCTAATTATGTGTCATCTGCAAACTTACTAATCATGCCTTATACAGTCACATCCAGATCACTTACGTAAATAACAAAGGTCCCAGCACCAAACCCTGTGGCACACCACGAGTTACACGCCTCCAGTCCGAGAAACAACCTTCAACCATCACTTTGAGCCAATTTTGAATCCAATTAGCTAGGGCTCCCTGGATCCAGTGTGACTTAATTTTCATGACTGGCATGCGGGGCCTTGTCAAAGGCCTTACTAAAGTCCATAGAGACAACATCCACTGCCCTATCATCATCTATACTCTTGGTTATGTCTTCTAAAAACTCTAAAAGATTTGTCAGACATGACTTCCCGCACACAAATCCATGCTGACTATCTCTAATCAGACCTTGACTATCCAAATGTTGGTTGATCCTGTCCCTCAGTTTCCACTCCAATAACTTACCTACCATTGATGTCAGGCTCACTGGCCTGTTGTTCCCTGGCTTGCCTTTGCTACCTTTCATAGACAATTGAACAATATTAGCCACCCTCCAGTCTTCTGGAACTTAACCAGTGGCTAAAGATGAAGCAAAAATCTCTGTAAGGGCCTGTGTAATTTCATAGAATCCCTACAGTGTGGAAACAGGCCCTACAGCCCAACAAGTCCACACTGACCCTCACAGCATCCCACCCAGTCCCACCCCCCTATAACCCACCTAATCTATACATCCCTGAACACTACGGGCTATTTAGAATGACCAATCCACCTAGCCTGCACATCGTTGGACTGTGGGTGGAAACTGGAGCACCCAGAGGAAACCCATGCAGACATGGGGAGAACATGCAAACTCCGCACAGACAGTCACCCGAGGGTGAACCCGGATCCCTGACGCTGTGAGCCACCATGCCGCCCCTAACTTCGCCTCCCATAATGTCTGAGGATGGATTTGATCAGGCTCAGGGGATTTATCCACCTTAATTCATTTTAAGGCTGCAAAGACCTCTGCTAATATGCATGCAGTCCAAAACATCCCCACTTGTTTCCCTTATTTCCTTAGCATCCATGATTCTCTCCTCAGTAAACGCTGAGGAGAAATATTCGTTAAAAATCTCCCCCATCTCCTTTGGCTCCATACATTGATGGCCATGCTGATCTTTAAGAGGACCTATTCTTTCCCTAACCACCCTTTTACTCTTAATATAGCCATAGCGACTCTTGTGATTATTTTGAACCTTATCTGCCAGATCCACCTCATACCCTCTTCTTGCTCTTCTGACTTCCCGCTTAAGTGTGCTCTGACCCTTTTTATAGTCATCTGGAGATTCACTTGGGCCTGATAGCTTAAACCTAATGTATGCCTTCTTTATTTCCCTGACCAGTGCCTCAATATCCCACGTCAGGGATCCCTAAACCTGTCAGCTTTTCCCTTCACCCTAACAGAGACATATGTCCCTGGACTCTTGATATCACATTTTTAAAACCCTTCTATTTGTCAGTCATTCCTTTTCCTTCAAACAGACTCACCCAATTGACCTCTGCGAGATCCTGCCTCAAAGTTGGTCCTGCTCCAGATTAGCCCAGCCTACAGGAAGGGAAAAGAGGAGTCAGAGATAGACCAGATGAAAGTGAGGACAGGGTGGAAATTGGAAGCGAAAAAGATGAACTTTTCCAATTCCAGACGAGAGGTGGAAGCAGCACTGATGATAATGTCGATATATGATAATCTCAATCATCAGTAAAGTGATGGAGGGGTCATCAACAGTGCTATCAAACACCACCTGTTCAGCAATAACCTGCTCAGTGACGCCCAGTTTTACCAGTGCCACTCAGCTCCTGATCTCATTACAGCCTTGGTTCAAACATGGACAAAAGAGCTGAATTCCAGAGGTGAGGTGAGAGTGACAGCCCTTGATATCAAGGCTGCATTTGACCGAGTGTGGCATCTTGGAGCCCTAGCAAAACTGGAATCAATGGGTATCAGGGGGCAAACGCTCCG